ACACACATATATATATATATAAAAAAAATATTAAAATGACTAACAGATATTCAAGGAAAGGTCAAGAACCTAAAATAATGGATATTAAATAAATTAACAGTCTATCAGATACAGAAAAAAATAATCCCAAAACAGAACTAGTAATCAAATGTAATAATTGTTCCCATTAACGTCACGTAACCAACTGAACAAAATCAATGCAATCGGGTGCAGTACACTTGGTATAGAAGATTTTTCAAAGTTCTCGTCAGGGATCTCTAATTGTTCGTTGTGTACTGTCGCTTTGCTGCAAGAGATTCGCATTTCCCATCCTCTTCCCCTCCCTCGTTACGCTTCGGCATTTCTTGAGCGTTTCGTCTCAGCTCTAGACAGGACAGCGGTTGAGGGTAATACACAGAACCCACCACAGATTCTCAAAACATTACGTCCATGTATGGACCAAATATAAAAGACAAAAATTTCTACAGGGACTAATCGGTTAGCGCGTTGTGCTTACTTTCTTCCCCCCCTTGAAGTCGCCTGGCCATAGTGAGTGGAAGTGTATTTTTAAACTCAAATTATCAGCCATCTGGAAAAAAAACCTCCTGCGATTGATACCCTTATCATCGCCACACCGATTTGTTTTGTTCTAACACAATTTAAAAAATAATGGCTATCCTTAACAAAAGAAGCAGAATCTTTGCACGGTAGCAGTCACAACAAAACATTTAGACACACCGTTTTGTCACTTGGCTTGCACGCTCAGGTCCCAATTTACAGAATCCCAGCAACGAAGACAGCAACAGAAAAGGTAGGAAACAATCTTTTGTTCATAAGGAAATTCTAATTCAAGTCAGATTTCCGCTGATTGGTCAGGTAACTCTTAAACACGTTTTTTGTTTGAAGGCAAATATTGATCACAGTTTTGTTCAAAACCAAAAACACAACAACAAAAAAACCAACGGCCGTGTTCTTCTCAAAACGAGCGCTTCGTAAGAAAACAATGATGATTTCTAAAATATATCCTGTGTGGTCTTTTAAAAGTGAATTATCAAAAAACATTTTCCCAAAAATAAATTAGATAATTAAAAAAAAAGTCTTTTCCAGCATAGCTGGACATTAGGCTGTCCTCACTGAGCCATTAGTATTGCTGCTTTTCCCAAAATTTGGGTCATTTTTTTCAAACCATATTTCAGCCAGCTGTTGTGTGGACCCATAAGTTGAAGCTTTGGACCCCAAGCACATTTTATATTGTTTTGGATCAAGGTTAGGGTCACAAAAAACAGGATGATGCACATGGACTACTCCAATTTCTTGGCTTCGGAAAGTTTTTAAGCCAGCTTGAATGACTTTGTTAAATAGGTCTACGTCTTCAAGGCCCCAACCTTGGATGGAGACATCAAAGCCGCCTGCTCGAAGAAGATCACCTTTGTAAATACAGGTAATACCAAAGCCATAGTTCCTCCAGAAACCTGTTTTCTGGGTGAAGGCAAAATGATTGTCACTAGGAACTTTTCCACTATAAACAATTTTTGGATCATACTGGCTAAAAATGATGGGAAAGTATACTTGTTGACCCAAAACCGTATTGGTTCTACACCGCTGGAGGAATTCTGTGGTAAACACTAAGTCAACATCACAGAAGAAAAGCAAAGACTCATTCTGGAACTGAGAAGATCCGACTTCCAGAGCCAGTGCCCTCGAGAATTCCCCCGACACCGGTAAAACCTGCATGTCAGCTTTGGGGTATTTGGAGCGGTAATCTCTCATCAGCTCGATCTGCTTCACTTTGTCAGGGTTGGAGTTGGAATTGAAAAGCAGGACAACCAGCTTGACGTTCTGGTTTGGAATGAGGCATGTCTTTTCGAAATTCCCCATGAACCTTGCGAACATGTCAAAACGTCCGGAAAGAGGAATCAGGATGTTGATCTTCTTGTCTTTGAGTTCCTTCCTCTCTACTTTTGATCGGCTGAGCTGGAAGGGAACAAACATCTTCAGTGAGTTGGAGAGGAAAGACAGGGATCCAGAATCCTGGTTGATTTTGCTGGCCAGCTCTTTGGCGTCCATCTCTTCGTGCTCCATAAACTGGATCTTGCTGAACGTCTGCTGCAGGTATGCGTGCCTCCTGACGGGGACGGTCATCTTCTTCCCCTTATGCTTTTTGTACAGAAGCAACAAGTCAAGAACATACTCTGCTCCATACATCGGATTTACTCTGCGATAGCCATACTGTATTTCCTTGAAATCTATGATCCTCCCCCGGGTCTTGGCGTTGGCGTTGATCATTTCCATGACCTGCATAACAATGTCATCCAACGCTTCACGCTGAGAGGAGTCCATTCCTCTCCGAGGGGGCTGCCCGTCGGCACCCGAATACAAATACTTCCCTGTAAGAAATTCCCACTCCAAGATTTCTTCCCGGTGGCGGGGCTGGAATCGCATGAAGGAGGGCGGCATCCCCAGCTGCAGGTCATCTTTGTTGATTTCTGTATTGCTGTATTTGCTCATCAGGACAATTTCCCGGTGCAGCTGTACAGTCCGGTGGCGCAGCTCTGCTATCTTGCGGCTCAACATGTAGCTGTGAAGTCTGTACTGGTACGGGGGGTTCTTATTGGGGTGCAGCGTTATAGCTCTGTGTATTTTGCTGTTCCTCAGGTCTCGGATATAGCCTTTTTTGTTCTGCTCATAATTTTCATAAAACAGCTGCTGCATCTAGAAGAGAGAAAGGAGAAGTTAGTGCCTCGGCAGTGCTGTACTTGTGAAAGTTAGCCCACGCAGCCCCCGCTGGGAGAAAATTCCTCCTTGCTCGCAGGGCCAGAAGGCTTTCTGAATAAGCTGTTCTTGGTTTTAGGCACAGGTTGTAGCAATACCAGCTGCTATTCAAGGAAATTAAGAGGATTATTCACTGTAAACTGGTAAAAGAAACATCTACCATGGATTTGGGATTACTACAGCCCATTCTAGAGATATCACCGTTGGCCAAACAACTGAGCAGTAAGCAGATTGTAAGCTCATTTTTTCACCACAATACAGCATCACCAGGAAAAAAAAAACCATGAAGCATTCACTACAAAACTCTTACTATTCTTCTGCTTCCCTTGGGCTTTAAGAATAAAAATAATAAAGAACAATAAAAAAGGATGCCATATACATACTAAGCAAGTATGACGACACCTTTTCCATTACACCCAAATGCTGTTCAGGCATTAAAAATCCAGCTTGCTGAATGTTTTAGCCAAGATGCTGAATATGTTCTCTCAAGTGCTGGAATGCAAAGCCACAGTTCCCCTGTCATTTTAAAATGTCAATATAAAGTAAAACGCACCTGAGATTCCTAGCAGCAGTTCCAGAAGGAAGGTAATACAGGATGCATATGGATGCTAGAATAAAAGCATTCTTGAAGTGGAAATTGCTATTCGAAACAAGAAGATAGTGAGCTAAGATTGGATTCAGAAGCCTTACGGGAAGCCGCAACTTAAGAAAAGCAGGCAAACCAGCTTTACAGTTTTCAGTAGGTCAGGCAGTAGCTGATATAATGAAAGGCATGTGGAAACCAGGATGATAATATGGAAAATAAGCTGAAAAAAAAACTCCAAGAGAAAAAAAAAAACCCTCAAGGCTGAAGTTATATACCAGCCTAGACAATGGATGTTTAAAAAGATCACGGGCTGATTCTATGTCACGGCACAAATGTCATCAATCTGCCAGAGGAGCTGACACGACGGCTTCATTCGATACAGGATCCAGTCTACGTTATTGGCAGCAGAATTTGCTATCGGTAATACAGTCAATAAAGCACATGTACAAAGGCTGTAAAGATTAGCAAAGAGCTGAAATCCAAAAGACAAACAGAAGAGAGAATGACTCAAATATGACGGCAATTAAAGGGAGCACTAAAAGGAAAATCACAGGCGCAGAAAACCTCCCTTTAACAGACAGCGTGAGTGATGCTTCTACCAGCTGTTCAGACCCAGCAGAAGTCCTGTTTTATTAGGCCTTCGGTTGCATTTTTCCCATTATTGTGGACAGACATTGAATCTAAGGGATAAACTTACACCTGGATTTAATTGCCGCTATCTTAACAAACCAGATGTGCACATACTGAAACCTGAAATCCAGCCTATCACCACAGACAGCACGGGAGCAAGCCGCATCTACTTGAAGCATCTTGCATGGATTTTAATCTGAACAAATGCAACTCATTTCAAAGGAGGGAGGGAGGAATTTCAGCTGGACTGAGAAAGAAAGGCCATTTTTTTTTTTCATGGGTCATCACCAATCCCCCACCCTTTCTCCTTTCCTGCTCAAGTTCACCTTGCCCACTCTCCCCCGAGGGATTCCTGCGGCATTCATGATGTCTGTGAGCAATTCAGGCCAGAGGCCGCCTCTTATTAGACAGATCCCATACAGCAACGCGGCCAAAGGAGAACATCTTGGCGATGGCCTCTTGGCAAGCCACAGACGAGCTGCCTGTCAAGATGTATATCCCTTTAGAAGTCATGCAAGATTTAAAAGAGTGCTACGGGTAGAGGTTAGCTGGTCTAATCCAGTGTTCAGCAGAGAGTTATCCAAATTGAATGAACCTCATGCTTTCCCAAGCAGCATGTTTTTCCACTCACATGAAGACTGTTCTTCATTTGTATCCCTATACTGTTTCCTCTACTCATAACACTTTATTTTTTTGTCCACTTTGAGTCTCGCTGCTTCTGTTAAGGGCTCTAGGAGACCTCAAATCACACCCACTTACGGTCGGTCCTGTAAGCACAATTTATTACAATGGAGAGCTCAGACAGCAACAAGACCAGTCCAACACTGCAGGACCCACACGTGTATTTTTACTGACTCCACTGATTTATTCTCTCTAACGCAACATATCTATATACACAGAACTAGAAGTATTAAATGCATATGGTAACAGGCTGGAGATTTCACTGACATTTTAACTACAATACAACTATAGGCACAGGCTTTCCCAAGAGTATTGTGACTTCAGATAAAAATTCTTAAATCATGTCATTAGGCAACTGTTATTTAAAGGAAAATTGACAATAGAACTTAATTACAAATCGTGTTTTGAATTTATAAGAAAACAAAATCAAGACCATGCAGCCTGAATGCATTTATTCCAAAACTGCCATCTAGGGCATTCTGAATTAGCTACGAGAGGAAACCATGAGAAGCAGAAAGGCTTTTCGATTACACAACAAAGTTTTAATAGAATACCGATGGGTAGGAAAATGTTATGAAACTTCCCAATGGAAGTAAAGATACAAACTCCTAGCAAGTAGCCCTAAATAAAATTAACAAGCGTATTTTAAAGCTCTGGTTTGCCATGCAGGAGTAACCTCTCAGCTAGGCTAGTTAACTTCTGAACTTTCAATACTACTTCTTGCCTCATCCAAAAACTAGCTGGCCTTGAAAACTGAACTGAAAATGAAACATGTCTAAAACGTATCTCAGCAAGTCCTTACACTGGTGCTTCAACACAAAGCAATTCACAACTGAAACATCTATTAACGGCCACCTTGCTCCAGCCAAAAAGGTGACAACTGTAACAAAACCCGCGCCCCGGCCAGCCCTGCAGCGCAACTAATGAGAAGCACCGCAGTAGCCAGGTTTTTATATAATCCTATTTTCCAGAAGAATGCCTTGCAAGGCTGCCACTTCCATTGTTTTCCCTATGAAGTCTCCCCCTCTCCTACTCCAGCGCAGTAGCAAGCAGCGACAGGCGCGGGACGTGCCAGCGTCCTGCAGCCCCGATCCCCCATCCAGGAACCGAGGGACGCCCCACACCGGTAGGCAACGCGCGGAAGGGGTTAATCAATTCAGAGAGTATAATGACTTACAAACTAGTTTTGCACAGTGGTATGAAGTGCCATAAACGAAGTCCAAGTGGCCAGCAGCCAACAGAGCAGTTTAACCCTTCCTGGGCCGAGGCGCCTGCGGACGCTGACCCAACGCTGCGGAAGCACCGCGATGCCCACGGGCTTTCCTTCATGATAAGGAGCCCCACATGGATTGCATTTTCTCACCCACATCTACAAAACTTTAAAGAAGTGAGCACTTCTCCCATATGGTTTGACAGCTTCACCAACATTAACCCATTTAAATCATTAAGTTAGTGCTAGTCCTCGGCGTTGGGTTTGATCGCTAACAAGGGCAATGTCTGACCATCACCCATCCCTGCTAAGGTAGTTTCTACCTCATCTGGGTCCAAAACACTATCCTAAATATTACCTATTAGCACACGTGGGCTTTTGACTCCATGCAATACTGGTAAGCCGTAAGGAAGACAAAAAATTATCATTACCTCTTGCATACATCATTAATAGAGATTGGTGGGTGGGAGAAGACAACAGAGAAATTTATTTGTAATTTCTGTCTGTAATTTATTTGTTCCTCCCATGTAGCAGCCATTAAACGCAGACACGGAGAGCAACACAAGCACGTCTAACAGACATTACGTGCAAACTTCCCCATGCCTGTTACCAGATTCTTGCAAGCTGAACTCTTGTAAACTCTTCTTTTAGTGAAACAGGTTTCTCTGTGATTCTTTTCAAAAAAAGAACCTTTCATGGATATTAATTTTGCAATGATTATATTCTAAGCATGCTTTATTCTAGTGCAGAGCACTGAGAGCATAGGGATACAAAGAAGAGCTACTCTTTATTGACCACTATTTACTCTAGACCTGTTGAAGCCTTAAAAACCCTAATGTTCCCCAAACCATTAGAGACTGAATGTTTAACCTGTGGTACAGCTGTTGTGGGCACTACTGGCTCGTGTCCAAAAGACCAACTGAAAGGAGAGAGTGTTATGTTCTTCGTTTTAAATGAAGAAGTCTTTTGCAGGCCAAAAAAAGTGTACTGGAGAAAATGGGCTTTAAAAATAAGACCAGTTTATGCAGAAACTGGCCCGCAGCCACGGATTAGCCCCCGAGGGCTTTCTCTCACAGCTCCAGATTGTACTACCACAGCCCAGAAAACGCAGCCCCACAAGTCTCATGAAAAGCAATCGTGGACAAGACATGTTGTATGGCAGGCTTCTAAATGCCCCAAGATGTGCTTTTAATACAAAGCCAAACTAATCAAAAGCTCGAAAGCAAAAGCACACGAGCACCTCGTTTGGGAGGAGATGAGCACATAGGTCCCTCTCCGCAGCCGGTGCTGAGCTGTTCTCCTATGGGAGTAACGCGGGTGCCGGGACAGCCCTTACCCTGCCCCGCAGCTCTGCTGCCAAAACTATGCAGGATGCTCACCCCCATCTCCTCCTCGCTCCTCCTTCCAGAGATGCAGCGGTAGCGGTGCAAGGGGGCAGTTCCTCGTGGTTGGCTGAAGTGAAATGAAAGATGTTTTGCACCCACATCCCAAGCAACTGTATGAATTAATTGTAGCCGCACTAACACAGCTTTGCCACTTTGATTAACCAAAACAGATCACTAGTTTTCTGATTTTTAAATCACCAACATAGCTAAATTGATAAAATATTCTGCATGGAGACCCAATGGAGAGGAGCAGCGGGTCTTCATTTACTGCTGACTTGCCTGTGGCGCAGAGAGAGACTGTAGTGACCTCCCTGGATACAACTCTGCATATTCCGGGTTCTTACTAGCGATGATCTTTCCGTTTTAAATCCCAATGCTTTATGTGTGATCCCACAGCTAACCACTGACATGACTGAAGTCACTCCTGGGCAGGCTTATTATGGTGGAG